CTTTGTCAGTTTGTTAAAATGTGGTCAGGAGGAGTGGGAATGATCATGGCACATTTCCTTTGTATAACTAGAGATAGAGATACCACGACATGAGGTGCATGAGGATCTAGCAGCGCATTGTCTTTTGCGATCTATTTACGCATTCGCTATGAAGAAGTCTTTTGTCTTTGATGGTTAGCTATTAGCACAATCTACAACGATGATGTATGAGTGAGTTTCTGACAATTGACAAAGCCGAATACGACAAATCTATTTCCCATCACAGATACAATTGTTGTTACATATTCATTCGTTATCCTACATGTCACCGCACAGGCTTATTGTGCTGCGACTGGCCATTGGTACTCTCCGTAGCCATGCTTATCATCTCGTCCAGTTCTTCCTCCTCCCACTCTCCCTCCTCTTCGCCAAACACACTCCTCCAAACTCTGCCCCACATTCCTTTCTTGTGTAACAATGCCAGGATCATAATGCCAGGAAGATGCCATACACTCGCCCAGAAAAGACTTCTCGCGCTGCCTTGGTGACCCTCAAACCGCCAGAAACGCACAGCTTCTTTTATGAGCCAGCCATTTATTGGTAAGCTGGTTACTGCGAAGGACCACTCTGTTACTCCTGCAGCGCAGAGAGATACACAGAGGGGAATGAAGATAAAGCTGTAACGCAGAGCGACTCGGCCGTTTCGTGCGGGATTTGTCCATGCTAGCATCCGAAGACCGGCCTTTTTGTACTCTTCGCGAATGGGCCAGCTGAGCGCCATAAAGTGAGGGAATTGCCATGCGAAGAGTAGACCAGCCATGACCCAGCCGCCAATGGATGAACCGTCGGGGGAGAACAAAAGCTCACGCCATGAACCGTCCTTTGTAGCAGTCTCGCCAGCAGCCGCAGCCCAGCCCATCAGAGGAGGAATACCGCCAACCACCGCGCCAATCCAGGTATTAAAAACCGTCACAGCCTTGAGAGGTGTGTACATTCCAGCGTAGATAACAATATTGGCGAACCCAAGTCCGGAAACAGTGGGGTTGACGCCAAAGTACAAGGCGCCTGTACCCAAAGCCCCAGCCAAGACTGCGAACAGAACCGCAGCTCTTTGAGAGATGAGTTTTCGTACGAGCGGTCGATTTCGAGTTCGAGTCATCTTGGCATCCGTCGAAGGCTCATAAAGCATATTTAGAGCATTCGCGCTAGAGGAACATAATGTCGTGCCGATTGTAAGGAATAATAATGTTAAAGGACTCAAACTCGGTGTCTCGGTCGTACTCGGCGACAGCATTTCGGGAACGGGGTATAAAGCGTAAGTAGCCATGGCGGTAAGGACGACGAGCATTGTTAATCGAGGTTTCGAGAGGGAGAGACATGCGGAGAGGTAGCGGCGGAAAGAACTCGTTTGCGAAGCGGCGTGTGAAGCGAGGAGGGATGAAGCATCGGGAGGAAGTGGTTTTTCGCCTCGAGCTGCAGCGGCCGCGGCTTCAGCAGCAGCTTTCTCTCTCCGTTGAGCCTGTCGTCTTCGATGCGGTGCTAATTCCTGCTCCGGCTCCGTCTGCGCAGTATTCGTAGAAGATATCGTAGCCGCCGAAGCCGACGTGGATCTTATGCCATTGGCACGCCGCAGTATCACAAAATCGAGACATGTCGATCTATCAAACAATCTATTCGAGAGGAAAAACGAAGACCCCTTCCATGGAGCGGCAGCGAGTATTCTAGGCGGCTGGAAGGCTGCGGCGGAGGACATGCACCGTCGGCTGGCGGGTGCGGCTGCGTTGAGGAGGATCTTCTCCGCGGCGGGGAGGAGACATCGTGGTGGTCGCATTATGGCGTGGAGGTTGCGATTAGGTTCATGGCGGTGCTGGATACGCCGGGTTGAACGGTGACGGGGGAGCTGGGAGCTGACTGGGAGTGGTTCGACTGGTGATGCTGCAGCAGATTCTTGATGCAATAGTGGATAACCCAATTGGGGAATCCTGGGGAAGAAAACGTGATTTATCACGTGCAGATGCCATTGGAGAAGAACCCCGCGACCTGTTGTTCGCTGTCATTCGAAATCCATGAATTCCTATTGACCGCCGCTAAACCCAATCAAAGTCATTACGATCCTCATTATCTCATCAAGGTTTGATCTTATGAAGATCAATCTCAAGCCTCGCGAAATTCTTTGGACCGTTTCTGAGTGGAAAACCCGACAAGTGCCGGTAGTAACTCAATCGCCTCTCTCCACAGCAAGTTCACAACGGGAGAGCAGGAGAGCCACTTCGACCCACGCGTTTCCACCACATGATCACAGCATCGTCTCTACATTGGCGTAGAAAGTTTTCTACCCCATCAATTCAAGTGAAATGGGATGGAAATAGTGCTGCCTGGAGAAGGGAAACCCCTCTTGCCTCGCCATTCTCGACGTGGTAATTGCAGCCGAATGACAGAAGAGAAACAAGCGTTTCCGGTAGCCAAGCCGAGCGAATGGCCGCCAGAGTTTCCCTCATGCTCCAGCTCTGGTGGGGGTCAGCTCGGCTTGGTGACTTGACTTGAGCAGAACGACTCCATCGATCAGTTTGATGATAAAGCAAGACATTGTCAAAATTGACAAGAATATTATTTAAATCATAATTGACTCCTTATTCTCAGCGAAATTCTTCAAAGACAGCAGCTCAATCGCATTGATACATCGCTGACATGACGACATTATTGGACGCTCTTCGGCAGGCCAGCCGAGTTGACTGTGATACCCTTGATTCGAATGGTACGAGTCACAAACATGTCGCAGCCCTCAATTACTGACTCAATAATAGTCGCTCATGAGTTAGGTCCCTTTGTGGATTGCACATCGAACCAGGTAAGCAAGCTCTCCATGCCCGTGTCTCCCAGCGGTGCTGACCTTCAGGCAATTGCATTCTCGGAGATTTCGAGACCGCTTGCTGGTGAACCCCTTTTGCATCACGATGCGCTGATCAAGGAGGCCATTCAAAGTGCCCATGGGGCACTGAAGGAGTTGCAGGGTTCCGCGACATTTGAAGAGCTTGTAGTACAGATCTTGGTATGGCAGCAGCAGGAAACCCACGCAATGGAGCTTTACTGACCCGGCAAGATGGTAAAACTTCAACTATTGATCGTGCCTAACGTCACAGGCTACGTGCATGTTCAGACCAACCCAAAGCTGTCCTACTCAACGAACGGCACCATTAGCGATGCCTACCGTGAGTCTCCCGTTTTTTATCTCTGTTACTCACGCTCACTAGCCACACAGGTATTGTCAATATCTTCAAACACCTGGCACCGGACTTCGACGAGAAGAGGGTGTGCATTAAGATCCCCGCAACTTGGGAGGGTCTCCAGGCATGCCGAACACTTGAGATGAAAGGAATCGCGACTCTTGCGACCACCATGTTTTGCATGGAGCAAGCGGCGTTAGCTGCCGAGGCCCAGTGTACCTACATCGCGCCATACGTCAATGAGCTCAAAGTTCATTTTGAAGCCGGGTTAGTTTGACTTGCTAAAGGCCCTCGCCATTCTAACAATCGCAGATACGTTGACGAGAACAAAGCCTTTGAGTTTTGTCGCGAAGCACAAGCCTACTACATTAGTCATTCATTCCGCACCCAAGTGTTGGCGGCATCATTGACATCTGTGGATGAAGTGATGCAGCTTGCCGGAATCCAACATGTCACTATTTCGCCCAATTTGCTCAACGGCCTCGCTTCTGCTGAATTGTCAACCTGGAATGGCAAACTGGGCGAATACTTTGCGCAAGACCTTGCAAAGAAGAGCTGGGAAACGACAGACTACAATGTCCTGGTTAGGGATGAAAGCTCCTGGAGAATGGCTTTCACCAGGAGTGGCTTCGGTACGAGTGAAGGTAAGATTATCCAGGCCATCAACTACTTCGCCGACTTCCAAGATAAGCTCGAGGAACTTGTGAAGCAGCATTCTGGATGATTTTGGACGCATCGGTCCGTCAGGTTGGTGTTGCAGCATCCAATACGCAGACCGAAATTGGACAAAGGAGCATTTTACAATACCATAATGAACGACTTCAGTCACGACCTTCCGTCGCCCTCTCGTGATTCCTCGTTATTTGCCTTTGAACAAAGAGGCTCAAATAACGGATTGACAGTTGCTATTTCCACGCAACCGTGTGTTTCCAGCTTCTTTGTTTACACTGATTGAGCTTCCCCTCTTTTCGGACCTACCAAGTCGCGGCTGGAGACAAAGAACAGTCACACCTTTCTGACTGAGGGAGGCTTGATTGCACCCCGATCAAGATGTGCTTGGAGCTTTGGCCTGCCTGTTGCTAATTTTGTGTCAATAAGTGTTATTGTCGACCTTTTTGGGGTTGACGCTTTGTGTTGTCGGGCGATTGACCGTTAGGCCGTCAACCGTTTTTGTTTCCAATGGTCTCTTGCTCTGTCTCATTCCATTCATACGGATCGCGGTAGACTCCAAGAAAACGTTCAAAAAAAAAAAAAGGAAATCATTCTTGATATAGCAGTCGGAACGCAGCGCAAGATGTTGAGCTCTGAGCCAACCCTCGAAAACAAGATCAGCTAAGCTCAAAGGATGAACGGTAACGCCGAGGAAAGGCGATCCTTGTCACAGACCACCCATCAACTTGTCAAAGAGAAGGTATGTCTCTTTGTTGCCAACACCACGGCAAACCACTTCTGGTACGTGCGAGGTGCTAGTCTGAGAACAATGGTATTGCACTCAGGCCATTGCGACCATAGGGCGAGGTTCTCCTCAAAGGGTCTTCTTGCACCAGGTGTGCGATTTAACACCCTCTGCCACCCTCCATACTTTTTGACCGGTATGATCTCTTTCTCTTTATGCTCTTTTCCTTGTTCTTTCCACACCAACTGAGCTCCCAGAATACTCTCACATACACTCATTTGTTGATACCCTTTTTATCTCTATTCTTTACTTAGCCTTTCATTATACACTTTGAGCGTAACCCTCGCAGTCCGCCTTTGACGATCACCTCATCTTGTGATAGTGTATGGCTGTTCACGAAAATGGAGGAAATGGCCGGTGTTGTCTCATCTGCGAGTCAAGATGAGTCCTCCCTGGATTACGTATCTTCTGACATTACCGCGGCACGCCTCGACCTTCTAGTCGGTCCAAACGATTCACATTGGGTGAAGAAGCACAAGTTCTTCACTGAGAGACTGAAGTCGGATACTCCCATCAAAGAAATCGTTCGAGAAAACTTCACATACCACGAGAGTCGCCTGTTGATGCCATCTGATCGCGCAGATGTGAAGGAATTGCAAGCTGCCAATACGAAGCGCTACAAGGCTCTTCTCAATGACCGCTTCAAGGGCTTCGAGGACTCTTTGGCCACAAAGCTCACGATGATGTACTTTGGTTTGCCAATTGCTCCGATGGAGGACATTATCAAGGAGCTCTCTATGGCTGTTGGTATGGTGGAGGAAGTTCCGATGTACAACATCAAACCACCAATGCATTTTCTTACAGCCCACGATCGTCGCAACTGGGGAAAGGATAGCCTGAGAGGTAAGTTGTTACAAGCACATTCAAAGCCTCCTGTACACGACTAACAAGTTCAAGCCAAGGAAGCCTTCAGTTGGCCCATCCCGGTCCCCAAGACAAGCGATCCGATTTTGAGTCTTCGTGGAGGTGAAGGACCCAGCTCACTTCAACGGGATGACAACGTTGTGTGTGACTACGTCCCCTCAACTGAGACTCCAGCAGACCCTGATGAAGAATGGACTTATCTTTATGGCCTGTATGGGCGCTTGCCATTTTGTCCTCGCAAGTGGCGATCGTTTGCACTCGTCTTACGACAACTGTTGTATAACCACCCTAGCAATATTAGGGAGAAGCAGTACATATTCGACCTGCATCTTATTGATAAGAAGACGGGCAACCGAAAAACCTTTCGCGATAAGTTACCCTTATCATCTGGTAGCAAAGCAATGCTCTTCTTAGAGGGACATTTTGCCGACGGCGGGAAAGTCAAGGGACACCGGAATTGCTGTACTCTTTTTATTGAACATATCTGGAAGGAATCGGACGACGCATTTGAGCATTGGGAACCTTCCAAACAGCAACTGGAGACAGATACCGTCAGGATTGGGCGCTCCCTTGGGGCTTTCCTCAACGGACCCGAGGAGGAAGCTATAAGTTATGCTTATATCCCATTTCCCAAAGTCAATACCTCAAGCTTCGTTGCTAGCAACTATGCATCTCAACAGTACAATACTCACTTCAGGGCCGCCACTGATATCCTCTTTGGTCGACCTATGGGCAACAAAGAAGGGGGATGCTCCGAGTACAACCATGCCTTGTTCCGTCTCTACGACAGAAACAAGCCGGGCGCTTCATTGACCGTACCCATCGTTTACGGTGCCATGGGTCTGCCGCAATCAGCTTTGGAGCTTCTTCATCCGTTGAACAACCCCGGCGCTTGCTGGATGATTGAATGCAACTGGCTCGACCCAGATGTGTCACCTCTTATCTTTCCAAACTATTACCCAAGTCCCAATCCGCACTTGTTGGTAGATAAGAGTAATTCTGGCGATGAATATAACAACGTCTTCCAACCGATCTGTGAGATTTCCACCGAGAGTTTTGACAAAGAGTCGAGCAGAAAGCTTGAGACAGTGTATGTCCTTGAAGGTGGCCCAACAAATAGCTATGGGCAGGGTATCAAGGGCTTGGAGGTTGTCCCGAAACGGGGTAATGCTGATGGGAAAGATGATCCCGTCGGACGCGTTGTTGGCCAAAAGATCCAGTCTCTGTCGGCCTGGTTTTTGACCATTCATCCCCATTTCCGCCCTGGGCACTGTCGTCTGTTTCCTGCTTGGCACAATGGACAAGAGATCTCGGTCGAGTTGCCACCTCTGACATCCACAGTACGACAGCTCTTTGCTGCTATAGATCAGCTGGTATCCAAGACCAAGTACGTGAGAGGTATGGGCCAGGACCTCATGTTACTCAAGGAGACTCTTTGTGCCAACAGCCGCGAATATCGAGATACACCATCGTACCTGATCCGCCCTGGCTCATCCGATGATGAATGGTATCGTGTGAGAGAGTCCATTACATCCCCTGACATAACAGTCGAGTTTGTAAACAAATCAGATGTCGACTGGGTTGAATGCATATCGGAGAACAACATCTGGGGCATTCGTGAGCTTAACCCCGAATTCCATGTCTCCCGCCCTCGGCTCGGCGGTGATACTCTTGAAATCAAGGACCTCAAAGATCAAATAGTCGACCCTGTTGCCAATTACCCCTCAGCGCCTACAAGTCTCGGATCACTGAGTTCTGAGGATGAAAAGGACACTGATAAACCACTCTCATCTTTCAGAAATAAGGCGTTTGTTAGCCCTACACTACCTCAGGCCCCCACGGTTTATGATGAATTTGAAGCTGAGGAGGATAAGGAGTATGATGTCGGTGTCCTGGCAACCAGTCGACCTGACTGGGCTGACGAACCTTACTGCGGAGACCGTCACCGGGCTTCCACATCAGAAATTTCAGACCCAGATACGGATATTTACGGTTATTCAGGAAATGACTCGCCCTCTAGAGGTGGTTCAGTGTCTGGAGATGCCCCTAATCAAAGGGACCGGATTCCAATCTCTAGTAGTGACAGCAGTGATGAATCAAGGAGAGAGGAGGATGATGTGGGGAATTACGACGATGGCGATGATAGCGAAGGTGGTGATGGGAATGAACACGCCGCTGCCTCGCGTCCTGGTCCCCCCAGCCAGCCACTATGGGATTTGAATGAGAACTCACCACGAGTGGCTCGAGAACGCACATGGTCCACTCAACCCAGTATCTTTGGTGACCTCAGAGCTGGGTCTGCGCCAGCTGTAATTGGAATCCCTGTGACTGGAGCGCCTGCAGAGCAGATGCTTCGCACCGACGATTCTGGTAATGTCCCGATGATCCTCAAAGCCTTCCTCACACCCACCGAGCAATCTGAGCTTCAGCGCAAGTACTGGGACACCCGTAACCTACTTCTCAAGCGCACCATGCAGTGCCTCTTCGAGGACTGCGACTTCACCTGCCGGGCTGATGATCATGAGGCCAGGAAGAAACATACTCAGGAAGCTCATAAGTCGCGAATGTGTCCTTGGTGCGAAGAGCTACTGTTTGAATGGTGGGATAGGGCTCAGAGGAATAAGCATATGCGGGAGAGGCATACCAAGGACCTGAAGAATGTCTTGGGTATCGTAGATGGGCCTGTCCCTGGGTCGACGCCTGCAGTACCTCGCCCATCGAAGCCCCCTCAGCAACCTGCACGCTATCCCCCGTCGGCATTTCAACCACAATCTTCCCAACCGTTCTCTCTGGGACAAGTTGACAGTCCTTTCACCACACTTCGTTCAGCTCCCCCTCGCAGCCCAGCTCCTGTGGCTCATATGGCACCTGGTACAGCGCTGGACCCTGGGCAACGTCGTTATGAGGAGCTTATGCGCTTGTCTCGTCCAAGGCCACCAAACCTCCCCTCCGACGGTAGGGCGCCCAAGAGACTACCGGTAGATGCACCGATAGTAGAAAGGATCTGCCAGTCTGGCCCTGTTCAGAGGGAGCTTGAACAAGCGAGAAAGTCACGGCAATCGATGGATAAACATAAACTTTCTGGACCTCCGCGAACTCTCAAAAACCCTCTTGCCTGGTATGACAAGACTGGACCAGTGATTGTCGTTGATCCTCCACAGGTTTGTGGCGTCCGAGGCTGCAAATCCGATGTTAGCGGGCTCGGTGCTTGGGGTCTATACGACCACATCACGAGAGGCCATTGGCGTGATGAGGTTACGATGTGTCCATTCTGCGAGCTTCCTTTCTTCGAAGTCGAGGGTACAGATGAGAAAGGAAATGAAATAAGAAGCCAACGCAGTCCAACAGAATGTAGGAAACACTTGGACTGCCATGTCTATGAACTCTGGGAACATCTGCAGCCAGTTTTGCAACGTCCGGAGATGGTCTATTCCCAAAGCGTCGGGAGCCCGCTGAGGGGGGAAGTCGAAACGATTAGGATGATCAGACCAACGCCGGCGGAAGAGAGGGAAGCAAGAGTTCAAGAGTCGGCCAGAAAGAAGGCTGAAAGGGAAGTCAGGGCGAGGCTCCAACAGAGAAGGGCCAATAGAGCCAAGGCCTATCTTGAAGAGCAAAAGGCCTCACAGCGTCCTCCCGTTGAGAAGTGTAGATACTTCGGGGAGTGCGGTACGGTCATCGAGGGTATGCCTGTCGAGGAGTATGAGCGTCATATTAAGGATTATCATACAAATCGACAAAGTGACTCAGATGGCGAGGACGAGGACGAGGACGGAGACATGTGCGATGTCGATGTCAATGTTGATGTTGATGTTGATGTAGAGGTCGGTGTTGATGTCGGTGTCGATGTCGATGTCGATGGCGAGGATGAGGTTGTGGATGAGTCCAGCGAGTCAACTGGCGCTGTGGTGGTGACCAAGAAGTCTGCTCCCAAGAAGCCAGCCCCCAAGCCTGCCTCCAGTAAACCCCCTTCCAAGAAAGCGCTGGGGAAACGCAAGGCTGTGACACAGGAGATTGAATCGGCGGCTGAGAGCGAAGCCCCTTCTACAGTTTCTCGTGGTCGACGACGACATAACAAGGCTCAGGAAGAACCGCCCGAGGCCACGGCCTCTTCCACTGAAGCACAAGGCAGCGAGGCTCAGGGAAGTGCCGCCCGAGGACGAGCCCGGAGTAAGAAGACTAGGAAGACTCGCCGTACTGGAGAAAAGGATAGCCAGTGTGACGATGATGGGTATGAGACGAACGACTACGACGAGGAACCAAACGAGAAAGGAGGAAAGCCCTTCCGTCGTCGAGCGAAGTCTCCCGACTGGGTGAAGAAGCTCGGTCCTGAAGATCCTAACTTTGATCCCGACGACGACATGCACTGCTCCAAGTGTCTACGCAAGGTGCCTAAGAAGCGAAGCAAGAGTCCGAACCACTCACCCATCGGTCGCGATGGAGAAGTCGAGGTTTGTATCTATACCTCTCGTTCTGACTTGCATACTAACGAACAACAGGCTCATACTGATAAGAAGCGATGCTGTCGTATCCGCAACGCCCCAGGTTCAATTGAAGGTCTCCCCAACCGCAGCGGCTGGATCAAATACTCTGACATACCCAAGGCGCTCGGCGAGATCAAGATATCATTCCTCCGTCGCTACCCAACATACGCACGCACAGTATACCCCACCAAGTCAAGCGACCACTTCGCATCGGTCTGGCGCTCCGACCCCAACAACCCAGACAACGATGAATGGTGGGACATTCCATGGCCTCCCTACGAGGGCGACCCTCCCTTCCCTGGATCGTGGGAAGCGCTCGGTCTGCCATGGGATAACACCTCGGACGGACGAAAGCGACGCAAGTTGTACACCGGAATAGAAGTCCCCGATTCCTTGTATGAGTATCAAAGCGAACCTGACACCGATGGGTCGATGTCTGCGGCTGTGCCGGAGAATATTGGTAATCTCACTATTGATGCTACACCGGCTTTGAAGAGGCCTGAGAGTGCGATTACGTCGATTGAGGAGGAGACTGAGGAACAACCTGTTGCGAAGAAGCCCAAGATTGGTAAGTCCCGTCCTCTCCCCTACTGCTCTTCATTTCCATGTTGTGAACGAAGCTAACCATACAACAGGGGCCATTCCCAGACGTGGGAGGAAGCCGAGCACGCAGCCTTCGCGTGCCTCGAGTCGAATACGTATGCAGAGAGCCGGTACCGCTTCTACAGCTCCTTCGACGGCGGTTTCGACGGCTGTTTCGAGGGCTACTTCAGTTGCGGCTGCGACACCTGCGCCGAAGGCTCCGAAAGCTGCCCCGAAAGCTGCCGCGAAGACTACTTCAAAGGCTGCCCCGAAAAGTGCACCAAAGCCTGCACAGAAGCCCGCATCGAAGCCTGCCACGAAACCTGCACCGAAAAAGGCGACTCGCTCAAAGACTGCGACTCCGGCTCCAGAGCCTGCCCCAAAGCCTGCTGCCAAACCTGCCGCGAAGACTGCTACTAAAAAAGCAACTCGTTCAAAGACTACGACTCCGGCTCCAGAGCCTGACTATGATAGCAGTGATCCAGATAGGTGATTTGTTTGAGTGCATGGTATTTGAGTGCGGCATCATTCTGTTGAGATATGATGGGTAATTTATATGTTGAATGATAGATTGAGTATTAACTTTGTTGTTTGGTCAAGGTTGAATATTGGAGTCATTTGTATTACGTTTGCTTGCTGGGCTGGATGGACAATGGTTAATCGGAATCTTGTATCTTTTGCTATGTATCTAGATCTCTTTGTCGCTATCGCAATTGCCTCTCATTATACTGTCTGTAACACCCCAAAGCACATTGATCTCGCATGTCTGTCTCAATAGAACTCCATTGCAAACGCCTATTTATCCCCTTGTGACAACTCTATCAGAGGTCGTCAGTCCGAATACATGTGAAAGTCGACGCCATACACGCCTTGCAAGATATCACCAATTCCTCTAGAACCCTGCCTGTTCCTCCTTTGTTCCAAGTCTTAGTTTTGTCAAATTACAATGCCTCGATAGCATTGAGAAGAACATCCACTCCTGCGTCTCCCATCTCGCCTTTATCGCCGAGCAGTGCACCGATGTCGCTGAGAATACCCAGCGGGATGTAACATCCCGTCTTTGCCTTCTCAAGACTATCCTTGAGACGGCTGGTGTGTTCCCATTCTTTGGCAGCGACTTCTGCGCGGTCGATGACGCGTGATGAGATACCGCACATGGCGGCGCAGTGCATACCGAAACTACCCTCGGCGACACCGTCTTCTAGCTTGTATAAGAAGGTGACGCGACGCTCATCGTCATCAACGTGGATCTGCATTCTTCGTGCTCGGATCTCGGGATGGTTCTCAAACTCTGTCGCGAGAGAGTGGTAGTGAGTAGCGAAGTAGCCGACGCAGCCGATGTGAGTAGCGACGTGGTGAAGAACAGCTTGGGCGACAGCAACACCATCGTAAGAGCTTGTTCCACGACCGAGCTCATCCAGAATGACCAGGGATCGAGGTGTGGCTTCGGAGAGAATCTTCTTGGTCTCGGACAGCTCAACAAAGAAAGTAGATTGAGCGGCGAAGATGTTGTCGTTGGCACCGAGACGAGACATGATGCGATCGACGGGTGTGAGGCGTGCGAAAGTGGCAGGGACGTAGCATCCGATCTGGGCCATGATGACGGCGACACAAGACTGTAGTTGTTAGCATCGGGAAATGATAGGGGGAGGATGGAACTTACCATGCGAAGGACGGTGGATTTACCGGCAGCGTTGGCTCCAGTCAACAAGTTGATCTTGGCCTGGTCACCACCAAGCTTGATATCGTTGGGAATGAAGTCGTCAACTGTGTTCATCATACAAGGATGTCGCAGCTCCTGGAAGTCAACAGTGCTTCGCTCCTCGTCCACGAACTCAGGACGGCAACTTGGCTGGCCGAGTGAGGCGGATGCCTTGGCTAAGCTGACAAGACAATCCAGCTGCGAAATAATTTTAATGGCTTGCAGCCAGGTCTCATAGTCAACATCGAACTTCTGGAAGAATCGCGACGCAACTTCGCGTACAAGTTGTGAGTGTGTCTCTTCAGCTTCTTGAAGCTCTCGCACAAGTTGGGATAGTTCAGGGAAGTACCAGCGCTTGACGTCCTTTGTCGCTGACATTTGACGGAAGGTCGAGGGGACCTTGACACTCTTGGGAGCCTCTAATTGATAGATCTCCTTGCCGACGTCTGTAAACTTCAGGAGCTTGCACTTAAACTCCTTCTTCTTCTCGGCCAAGAGATCCTCGAGTTGCTGCTTAATCTCCTCGATACGATCGGAACTCTCGTCGAAATCCTCTTCGATACCACGCTCGGGAATGAGTAGCTTCTCGTCGCGCGCCTTGCTACGATCAAATGCTGATCTCCAATAGCTCAAAGGCTCATCGAGGTTTGGCATCGACGAAATCAAGCGGTCGACGAGACCATTGCCACCCTTGTAAGATCCCAGTAGGCTCATGGTGTACTCTATCTGCTCAAAGCCTTCCAGGACCTTGACAAAGTCCTCGGGTTTGCAAGCCCCGGCGTGGATTCGGGAGATGAGTCGCTCCAAGTCGGGCATCTTGACGAGCTGTGAGGCGAATTGTTCGCGAACTGTCTGATCGGCATTGAGCATCTCGACAGCATCGAGACGTTCATTGATGCGATCAATGTTGCAGAGCGGGTGCGCGACCCATGATCGGAAGAGACGTTTTCCAAAGGGCGTGACGCACTTGTTAAGTAAGCTGAACAATGTACCCTCGGAACCGCCATTGACCGAGTTGGAGAAGACTTCAAGGTTGATAAGCGTTTGCCCATCCAGGATCAACGTTCCATTCTTCTGAATTGGGTTGTAGAGCTCGAAATTGCCCTGCGACAGCAAAGGTCTCTCAAGCTTGAGGAACCGCAAGTATGAGATCAAAGCACCAGTTGCCGACATGGCCAAATCATCATCCCGTAGTGACTGGAGAATCTCGGGCCAAACCTCCTCGTCAGCATCTTCTGACTTGAAGTAGCCTCCACAGTCGAGTTCGCGGCGGGTCTTATCCGCCTCCCAGAACTCTTCGCCTGGCTTGAGGTGTGTCCAGATGGTGGTTGGGCTAGTGTTATTCTTGAGGATACGCAGTGCCTTAGTAGACAAGCGGGACTTCTCAAGAAGTAGTTCTCGTGGGCCGGTTTGAGCGATGAGGGTCTCAAACTTGGTCAAATCCACATCGTCCACAAAGGTAGAAAGATAGAAGCGTCCAGTGGCAGTATCGGCAAAAGCGATACCAAAAGCAGGGAGGTCGTCCACGACAGATTCTTTGATAGCGACACAGTAGGAGGCCATGTCATCTTGCAACATGCTACCGTCGACAAGTGTTCCGGCTGTAAGGATGCAAGCAAGCTCACGGGTGATGACCTTGTCGGCCTTCTTGCTCTTGTCCTGTCGCTCGCGCATCTCTTTACCCAAGTTTGTCTCCATCTGATCGACACGAGCAACCTTGTATTGTTTGGCGATAAACTGGTTCACCCAGTGATCAAGTGAACTTTCAGGCACTCCGACCATGCGCATGTTGACCCGGTCTGTCATCTTGAAGTCGAACTCCTGATGACCCACGGTGGCATCGTTCTCGTATAATTCATAAAACTTGCCCTTCTTGAAGAAGACAATCGTATCCCAAAGGTTTTGCTTGATCTTCCAGTATTGGGTCTCGAAGGGCGAGAACTTGTGCCAAGCAGCAGGGGGGATGTAAATTGTTCGCTTGTCGTACTCGGGATGGTCGGGCTTTCGCTTGTCTTTATCCATAATATTGGCAAGCCAAGGATATCTTTGATCGGGATCTTTGGTGTATGCCTTCTCCTTATGTTTGGGGTCCCTTATGGCCACTCTTTCAGCAGGCTTGACGACCGGTTGCTTATTGGTAGAAGCAGCATCATAGCTCCATTGTGAGGCCGTAGCGCCTCCCACATCATCCATCAGCTCATCCTCTTCAAGAATGCTATCCTTGATATCTATTTCGGGTTCGGGGATGGGCGATGACTTATTGGACCGCTTTCGGGGAGCAGCGGGCTTTGAGGATCGCTTTCGCTTCTTGGAACGAGAGGTATCGTCGTCTGATTCTGATGCGATAAAGTCATCCATAGTGTCTGCAATCGTTAGAGCTGAGCAGTGAATCAGACACAGCGAGACATACCGCTATCGTTTTCTTCTGCCTCTTCCTCCTCTTGTTCTTCGTAATCGTCCTCATCCCTAACAACCTGTCGTACTCTAGTTCTTCGACGCGAACTTGCGGGCCCGCCAAATTGGAAGGGCTCGTCTTCCTCTGAGGATTCGGCGTAACTAACGACCTTTTTGACCTTGGGGAGCATCAGTGGCTGATCTGGGTAGTATCTTGCATCGCGAGTTTCTTACCTTTCGAGTCGGACTGCTGGGGAGAGCGTCGTGATCCATCTTATTGGAGGGCTTCTATCGCTCCGTGTCAGCTCGTATCACTGTGCATTCTCGGGGCATTCTTTACCTTCATGGTTGAGTCGAGATTCTCCTGGGAGCTCGGGGGCTCAAGAGCATCACTATCAGGCACGGGGGTCGTTTGCTTGATGGCGACAGTTGGCTTGGGCTTGGACTTGGAGAGAGGAGTTGTCTTTGGCAGAGAATTTGCCTTCGTTGTTTCTTTCAAGCACGAGGATTGCTTGGTCGTGGGAGAGGCTTTTGCAAGCGGAGATGATGCGGGAGCGGCGGGGGAAGAGGGGGGCGCTTTTTGGAAGAAGGAAACGATTGAACGCTGCTTGGCTGAAGAAGTAGTGGCAGCTGGTTTGGTCGATTTAGCGGGCGTTCGGGCCGCAGTTGATCGCTGGCTCGTCATGATGGTGAATGGCCTCAGCAGTGCGCAGCGATTGAATGTGCTAGGCAGGGCACCCGACAGGCGTGAATCAGGTCAAAGAGACGGTGGACAGTATTCTATGACGAGTATGTGTCGTTAGGCAAACAATCAGTAACAATTGACAAATAAACAAAAGTCTGGACGAAAAAGAATGGGTAGGTGATTGAATGAAGTTGAGGATGGTGGACGGGAGCTTCAGAATGGGAGAGCCATGTCTTTCTTAGATTGAGCTGGTAGTCGCGTCAAGTAATTTACAGGGTGCACGCGTCCTCACGCGTTAATTGGAAAGTGACAGCCCAGCAACCGAGTCTAGCGAGTTTTTCGCACTGGGCAAGCACGCTCGGTACGCGGCGACCGTTCAGGAGCCCCACTTGCCGGCAGTTCTTATCGCAACCCAATCAGCATTTTCTTTGTGATCAGATGCAAGAACTGCTGACCTACTTACCCTGGATCACGCTCAGCTCGCGCCGTAAATGATGATGGTGGCAGAGATCACTGAGTCAAAGACTACTTTAGTTAACGCAGTGAAAGGCTTCCTCATCTTCTTAGCTTACGCTTTCGACCGAATGACTGTAAGCTGATAATGTTAATAGTAATTCATTATTGTTCAAGCACATCAATCCTTGCTTCGTGAAGTTTAAGGAACCGTATCGTCTTTTTGCACGCCTGATTGACGACTTTATTTGCTACCAACTTGGTAATATGCAAAACAAAATTTGATTTTTCCTACCGCATAACAGGATCGACGCTTTATTACCCTATGCTACAAAGCAATCTGGCGATTAAATGTGCCTCCTAGTTCCATAATATCGTAGCTCGGTTGCTAAGGTCAACTCGTTCAAGACATACATCCAGAACAATCATCACGACAACCATTGAACACATCCTATCAACCGCCTTGACCATTTTCTTGGCCGATTCTTTCTTTCTCATAATTGAAACATTTCTAACTCTCTACGAGCTTATTTCACAGAATGTGAATGATGCTATTATCAGTTACCTGCACTAACCTAGGCTCTTCGCCTTGCATAATTTGATTAGATAGCACAAATAAGTACCAGGCACTTGTTTCAAAGTCAAAGTCAATGGCCAAAGCCACATCAATATCCTATCTATCATGCAACGCTAATCACCCCAAACCCCTCATTTCTTAACCGTTGAACTTTCTAACCTTGAAAGGGCTCGCAGAAGCCTGAGGCGCAACACACTTGTTCGCCAAAGCAGCTTTACCCGCGGCACTAGTAGCACTGACACAATCCACACCAATATCCTTAACACCATCACACAAGAACACAGGGTCTCCACCACAAGGAGTCTTGATGTTAAAGTCCTTGAACTTGATGTTCTCACAGACGGCATCCTTGCTAGTCGAGCAAGTCAACCTGGCAACAGCGTTACCGTACTTGCCGGAGCTGTAGCCGGTGAAGTTGTCGAAGAGAACGTTGGTGATGTTCATGCGAGAGGGGTACTGGGCGCAGGTAGTAGCGTTGATGTTGAAGTAGCACGAGTCGATGAAGGCAGTGTACTCGTTGTTGCCGCCCCAGAAGTTGCGGAAGGTCACGTTGTCGATGAAGCCGTAGCCAATGTCGGGTCCGGCCCAGGTCTTGAGACGGGCGCCGTGCTGGCCGTTGAGCATCCAGACGTTCTCGATGACGACGTCCTTGACGAAGGACATCTCACCCTTGTACTGGCCGAGAGAGCCGATGGACTGACCGTGGGTGCCTGATGTTATTAGTAAAGAGTATGGGATGCGAGGAGTGGAGTAAGCTTACCGTTGCAGTACATGGTGTCGACATGGACGTTGGTGGCGTTGCTCTTGGGGGAGAAGCAATCATCACCAATGTCAACCCAGGCACGCTCGACATTGAGGTTCTCAACGTTCAGAGAGTCAAAGAAGTCAGTGTTCTTGGGAAGAGCAGTGGCGTTGGTGGAGCGAGCAGTGCAGATGACGTCCTTGAAGGAGATGTCCTTGGCTGCAAGGAATCAGTACACGATCATCAGGCCTTGGTTAGAGTTTCTTACAAGTGACGACAAAGTTGGTCCAACAGGGAGAGTCCTTGAAGTGAACACCCTGAATGTCCAGGTTGGTGGCGTTCTGAGCATAGAACAGAATAGGTCGGAGATAAGCGTTGGTAGTGTCGAGAATCTCCTTTCCGGCAAACTCTGCATAATATTAGTATAAAGTCTAAAAACTGTTGAGTAAGAAACATACCGTTCCACCATCGCTGACCGTTACCGTTCAAAACACCCTTTCCGTAGAGCTTGATGTTCTTGCCACCCCACTTCCAGAACATGATCGAGTTCTACAACCATTAGTCTCAACCCATTCATCTTGAAATTTCAATGACATACCTGGAAAGGATGCTTATAAGCATTCTTCTGCCAATACTCCGTATCATTGGTGAACTTAATCTCACCCTCAAGATGAACATGAATATCATTCAAAAAGGTGAGATCAAGGGGCTTTCCAATGACAAAAGTCTGACCCTTGGGGAGATACAGAGTACCTCCCTTGTTGGCCTTCTTCAAGCCCTTATAGAACTCTGAAGAGACATCATCATGGTCGTTCTTACTATGTCTGATAGTATAGACCTTGCGATGACTTCTCTTGACGGGAAGTTCATAGGGATGCTTGGCGCGGAACTCTTCAATGCTACGAGGAACACCGGCAGGGAGGTCGATGGCCTCGGCGAGAACGCCAGCGAAGAGGGAGAGGGTTGAGAAGAAGCTCGAGACCTTCATTGTGAGAAAGATTGACGATGGAGAAGATGAGTTGGCTTGAGGATCAGAAGAAAGGAAACATAGGGAGGTTTAGAGGTTTTATATACAGAGAATGGATGATCATTTCGGAGGTACTCCCGAATACATGACCCCCAGGCCCCAGCATATCAAGCGGGTCTAAACTGCATAGTAGCTAGCTACCTTGGTTTAATGGCCCTCGTCTCATGTCAAAAAAGTTAGCAAACCCCAGATTGGAAGTGTTGTATTCGCTAACAAAGCGTCGTCTACACTGGCCCTCTGATTAAGCTTGTTCCCAGCGGGCGCCTTCTCATTCGTGGACTGTAAATTATCCGCGGCTCAGAGTTCCCGTGGAGCTGTATTTCCCCATTCTTAGCGGTAGATCACCCCGCCCCCATCGACGCTGGGGACGAAGGTAATTCCCCCGCAAACCCCAACGTTAAAATTCGAGGGGGGCAACGCGACCCGGATCGACTGTTTGAGAAGCGGTGACATTTCTTTTACTGTTAAATTCAAGGATCAGGGCTTTGGTGAAGGGTTCGTGATTCTGGGGTGTTGGGCGGTCTGGATGCGCGTGCGGCTGGGCCTGACCCTGTCATGGGTTTCAGAGCTGTAATTAAACTTAAGGATAAAGAACTTTAGATGTAACCCTGCTAGGACCGACTTATCTACGGACGGACATCATGCGAGACTGCAGAAGACTGGTCTAGAGTTTGGCTGAGGATAGAGTTAATCTAATCATGTACATGTGCGGCGCAAGATGGACTGTCAAACGCTTGGATGTATTCATATCAGTGAAGTTAGAGCCGGAGGACACATTCTTCTTACTTTCATGGTGCCACGAAAATAGGGTTACCGAAACTGTGCTTCTACGGCCAGGAGAACTGATAGTGAACGATGTATATCTAAAGTCCGTGATAGTTAAGCAAAGAGGAACTTATCCAAGTCTCCAGCTCTGCTCTGTGCTCACAAGACATATGAGGCCCTGGCTTCACTATCTCGTCAGGGGAATGCAGTCAAAAATCGATAATTCCTACAGCTATTAATCTAGTGTATTCTAATCCGCTAAGCATCTATAAAACAACTTTTGTGGCTCCAGATTCAGTCACAAATATCCAGAAGTCAATGCCCAGGCGCCTTACTCCATGTTCTGCCCAACATCCCTCTCCCAGTCTCTCTGTGCTTTCTCATCAGCCGTCAAATCAGTCTCAGACGACTGGATTTTTACCGTGACGAAAATCAGCGCTACTCCAGTACCAGTCCAGAATCCAACCTGACATTGACTTGTCGCATCAAGATTTTCGGCACCCTTGGAGTCCTTTTGTGCCGATGTTGCCATCTCAACAACACCCAGCCAAAATGCCATGCCTAGGTAGAGTAGGCTGGTGAACAACAAACTCTCCACTGCCTGAAGATGATTAGGTAGGGATGTTGTGATGACGAAGCTGGTGATATTGAAGGTGATGTCTAATCCAACTATCGCAAGGATCATGGCGGGGAAGATGAATGCCCAGGAGAGGAATGTGTTTGACATTCCGCTGTCGGGAATGATTGAAAATAGGATCGATGAGCCGAGGAGACCAAGGCAGAGAATGATTAGGAGTCGTCGTCCGTTGAGGATATGAAGAACAAAGCTGCTGACGAGACCAAGAATGAAACCTCCAGCTGCGAGAGGAATTAACCAAGAGGTGGAAATTGAAGGCCCAGAATATAGGACTGATTCGATGCTAAGAAGTATGTTAGCTGAAAAAGGTATTTGGTGGACAGAGCACGACTTACCAAAAGCTAGCGTAGAAAAGAACCAGACTGAAGGATCCGTAGGACACGAAGAGTGCAACGACCAATCGACTCATGTACTTCGTATTGAAAACCTCTGCTGGCACAAGAGGTTGTCTGGCCCTCCATCCCTCAATGTGAACAAACAGCGCAAGACCGATGATACCAAAGATCAAGGCTACATAGCCCTGGGGTGCATTTCCTCCATCAGTCAATGCATACGTCACCAATGTAAGCGCTGGTACAACGGTAACCGTACCCAGCCAATCCATCTCAAGGTCAATCCGTGCATCTCCATGGCTCTTTGGAATAGTCAGAAGGCCAACGATGCAGGTACCCGCACAGAAGAATGCACCAATGAAGAAATACCATTTCCAGCCAAGGACCTGAGCGGATAATGCGCCAAAGAAGATTCCAGAGTAGAAACCGATGCAGGAAAAGGCACCAAATATGCTGAAAATAAGAGTGTTTCGTGGACCAGGACGATAAATGCGTGACATGATAACGACACCAGACGGCAGGAAAGCTGAAGTCCCTAAACTCTGCATTGCTCGACAAGCGATGAGCATAGTAGGATTCTGACTGAAGCCAGCAATGATGGACCAGACAATTGACCAAGCATGACCACCCAGAAAGATCAACCTTCCACCGTGAATCTCAGAGAGTCTGGCGAAAGGAAGGATTAAAACAGCCGTAGTGAGATTGATGACAGCAGCAGGCCACGTCCTAGCCTCATGCGAAGTATTCGCTAATGAAGACAAAATGATGTTGAAATCAGAAACAAAATACTCGCCAATAGCTATCGAACCCGCGATTGTAAAGATGAAGCCCAGCTCTGATGAGAGATTTGAGAAACATGCTGGGCGGTGTCGATCTAGAGAATCGAGTTCTTTCTGATGAGACAATGAAAGTTTGCGTGGAGCATTGTGTTCTTGTTCGAGAACGCCGCTCGGAATGGCTTTATCAGCCATACCGCGGTAAAGATGAAGATTGGGCAGGGTTCTGATTGTGGTGACAAAAGATTCGGGGTGATGTTTTCGCTAAGTTATACCGTTTCGGGTGTGGAGTTGTGGACTCTGGATCCGCTGTTGTTGGAAGACGGGGATGGAGATAAGACGGGCAGAAGTGGAGATATCTGAACGAAAAGGTCGTTTGCAGCTGTGACTCTTAGGTTTATTATCAAATATCAAATAGCCGAAATTCGGAAACATGGCTTTGCGGAAGATGCAGATGCATTGTTTCTCGAAAGGACTGCAAGTTTGTAGTCGGGAAGAACCGAGTGCTTACAATGACTATTGGACATTCTGATCAATGCAATGAACTATATGCGAATTACATCTCGTTAGGGTGTGTAGTCCCCCAAGCCCTTTCCAGATGCTGGCAGCTTATCGCAAAGCTATAAATACTCGAACAACCCTCCAGCCTTTCGATACTCGATATTGCCTCTTTCCAACCGTCTGTCTGACGATAATTCTCCCAAGACTCGGAATGGGAAAGCCCAATAAAACCCATGAGAACTGATCTGGGCTTTCCGGCTTCACTTCTTGCTGGAAAGTCGTTCTCCACGCCCCAAGCGTGAGCTACTCTAGCATCACCAGGAAAAGCTAGTCTGAGAATCTCCTGAACCTTTGACGAGAGCGTTTCTTTCTTTTCGTCCGAGATGTCTTTGGGGAAATACGCAAGTATGATCTCAGTGAAAGGAGACCCAAGAACATCTGAGGAGGGAACCATCTTGATATGTTTGGAAAACTCTCCATACGTGCAGATCTTGGGAATGTCTTTGACTGCATCAGCGCCGTATCTATACCAGTTAGCTCTTTTACTCCAAATAAATGTATAAAACCTACTCCTCAGCAAAGCGTCGATGTTGCTCAATCGACTCAAAGTCGAAAAAGCACCAGATCTTCAATGAATCAACTGATTCTAAGCCCCAGTAAACTCTTTGTGGACCCCCAGGCTTGTTGATTACAGTCTTCCAAGCGTCAGTCAGAATTTTCCCCTCTGGAGTGGTATGGTCCATGATATTCATGTTGGGCTTGACGCCCATGCAGCCGACTTCGGTCACGGTCATTGTGTAGATGGCCATATCACGAAAGTTTCGCGAGGTATGCTAATCATAATGGTTTCGGCCTCCTTTGTAATTATTCTCAATCTTGCTGCCTGGAAGATTGTCACTATCCTTATTAATACCTTGTATCTCGCTGCCTTGTGCTCAATCAAATTATGCAACTGTCTGACAGGCTGGTGGCTCTTCTGCAGATTGCTTGCCTAAAACGTCCTACCTGTCCGCCAACAACCAGGTCGGATACTAAAGGCAGCAAATTTCTAACATTTGACGCGTCACCTTGGAAGCCTAAAATTAATTGGTATTTTTCAGTGTGTTGGCTTGATATATCTCGTTGAGATATCATAAGCTTTAACTATCAATCAACGCGTCACCTAACCCCCTTTAGCCACCTGCTGTAAGCGGGAGATAGCCAGCATGAATCGATCTGACAATGGATGCCTAATTCCCAATTTTGGTGATGAAACTCAGCTAAGCCAGGAAACCTACAGCTCTTCAACATGCCATTCACGAGTGATAAAGCGGAAGAGGCACCGACTTAACCAGAAGACCCTGTCAGTAATATCTTGTGTATCTGCATCGATATCTAAGCCTTCAAAGGAGTTGAACTTGCATCCATAAATAACGGCATGTAATATTCAAATGGAAGGCAGTAAAGCCAAGAAGCATCACAAAACCTTTTCGGGTTGTAAGCCAGATTTTCAAAATATGTCCTCCAGTCCCTGGAGGTCTCCATAGAGCTCGGAATCAGAATCATAGGACGGCACGCAAGGGCCTCTCAGCGGCGAAGACTCGGTAGAAAACCTCCATAAGTGAGACTTTTTGGTTCCGTTGAGGATCCAATAACCTTTGTACTTGAAGATTGAAGAAGGTATGTGATATGGGACCTTTGGATAGCTGTCGACATATGGGAGATGGATGACATCCATTTCCCCGTCAGTAGATCGCCACATCTGATTATAAGAATGACAAATTTCGGAATACGATCCGGTATCAGTTCTTTTTGCGTCCCACAAGATAGAATTAAAAAGAGTATCCGGCAGCGAAATGGCGTGTTCTGTCAGGGATGGCATCGCTTGTGCAAGGCTGTCTAGGTGAGGGCTGATAGCTGACCAGATATCTTCACGGTAGTAAGCTCTAAGCTGCCGTGACTTCTCGAGAGATAGATAAAGACGGCGTAATTGCGGGAACTGGGTGGATATTATTTGACAGACGTGCTTCAGATCTGCCTCATCAATGACATTGCAAATCCCGCTGTCGTATCGGGACTTCAAATTCCAACTTATCTCAAGTGAAGTTATGGACGCGAGGCGATGCGGTATCAAAAGTTGAGGTAGATGAGTTATCATTGCTTCATTGGCCATGATGATGGTGTTTTTAGAGTAAAGGATGTCGATAGCTTCGGCATAGCTGCGGTATTGTCAATTGCGATAATTTTGAATGTAGACGGAGATTGAATGACTCACTTTTGACGACATGATAAGAGCCATCCCATTATACCGATCCAACACTTTGAAGGGAATGAGCCTGGCCAAGAGTCGCAGTAAAGAGCTTCCCCGACGCTACAAGTATCAGCCCAAGGGCCATCGGGTCCTCCATGGGTCATTGGACCTGCTCGAGATACATCATGATCTGGTGGGAGTCGATGACAAACAGACCCCCACCAGATCCACGATCTTGGCTTCGTATCATCGACGGCTCGTAGTTTGATGCTGTGCATGTTCTCCAGGGCGATGCCACAATGGTTCTTTTCCAACGGTTGAATGAGCTCTGGATAGATGTCGGGATAATCGTAAGAGAAGTCCATATGGAGACGACGATTGCCGAAAGCCAGTATCAGAATGTATCTTCTGATATCAGGTGGGAGCTTATAGTACGCGCAATGCTGGAAAGTCGGCTTCGGCTTCGGCAGTCCAGGCTCTTCTGCAACATCTCGAAAGCCAGATGGAGTCAGGCATCGAGGTCGAGGGAGAGGATTGGGAAGAAGTGAAAGATTTTCGATGGCATCTTCTTTTTCAAGATCGCGTGGGATCTCGGGAATGTCAGATTCGCTTGGAGGATATGGAGAACCCTCAGAAATTCTCATTGTGATGATTCAGGTTGGTAATGGAGGTGAGAAGAACGAGAGCATTGGAGGCTCGTTTTAGCGCCCAGTGGCCTGAAATAAGTGATTCGAGCGCTATTTTACCTGAAACATGACCTGTGCATTGCCTTGGAGCCACTCAAGGACCAACAACATGTTGGTTGTGCGTGCAGTGCAGAAAGAAACGCATTGCGTCAGCTCGGGCTACGAGAATGATGACAAGTGCTCATGAAGCCAGCGAGTCTTCATTGTTAAATGAGACAAATGGCAATGAATCATAGAAGATAGCCACTGAACAATCTCAATACTTCACACCAAAATGTAGCTGCGTTGCCATGAACACTGTACCTCTCAATTCAGCCGCATGGGCCAAGAGCCAATAAAAACGTAGTTTTCAGCCTCTTGCTGCGTTTGTAATTGTGAAAGTCCTGCAGGAGGTGTGACTTGAACGTGGTGAAATATTACTGGTAGCCTGATTTTGGTCTGCGCCCCCCTTACACCTTTGCTTGTCTGTCACCAGAAAACCCTTCCCCTCACTCAACTAACCTCGAGAAAAGGTGTCAAGACCATGGCAGAGCTAGCACTCGCAGTCATTCCGCTCGGTCTCAAGACATGCTCTGGGCTTGTGAGCTATCTGGGCGGGCTCAAAGATCACGATGATGCAATCGCTCGACTCAAACGCCTTGCGGAATCCCTCGAAGGCAGTTTTCGCTTACTTGACGGTCTTCTGAAGAGTGGCCAGCTGAATTTTTCGACCTCGCAGGCTGTGGCTCAGACTCTACGTTGTCTGGGCAATTGCGAGGACGCCTTGAACGACCTCAAGTCTTTTGGGGACAAGATCTCGGCGACGACCACGCCTGACCCCAAGCTCGGAGACAAAGTAAAAGGCAGCTACCGCAAAATCGTCTATCCGCTGAGGCAAGCTCAGCTTGCACAGTTGGAAAATACATTGGAAAGCCTTTGCACACCTCTCAACTTGGCCGTTCAGAGCTTGCAGCTGTACGTTACCACTGAAACCTTCAACACTTTGACTAATTATTGCACAGAGAGTTACAAGCCACAATTTCCAATACTCTGAACTTGAACACTACGACACTTCAGAAAACTTCAGATGACGTGTTGGCTGTTGCTGCTGATGTATCTGGTCTTCGTGACCCCATGTCAAGTATCGAGACGAAGTTTCCATCACTTCAAGCTTCCGTCGACGGCATTGCTCCCCAGATTAGCATGATGATCCAAGCACAGTTCAAGTGCCAAATGGACGAGATCAGACACTCATTCCAACAAGCCGAGTCTTCTTCACTTCGGCGAAACACTCAGACAAATGAAATCCTGTCACGACTGCAAATTGATCGTCGAAACCCTGTCCCAGCCATTTACAAGCTTGCTGTGAAGCCAAGTGCGCTCTCTACAGTTACTTCTTCAGTTCTGGCCTGCTCTTGTCCCACTAGGAGGTTCCGCACTCGGAAGACACTTCGGCTTGGGCCACTATATTTTATTGACGAGACGATGACCGACTTTGCTCACTACAATGACTGTCAATTCGGTTTTGTAGACCATAAATACTCACGAAATCGTACAGTCAGATTATCCAGTATTGTTCGACTCGTAAACAAAGCTGTCGAACTTACGCTGCGTACGACTGGAGGAGCAGGCGGCTTTAGCATCAGCCCGTCTTTCACTTACTTTGCAGAGGTCGATGAAAACAGATCCCCTGCTTTCAGGGTCTTGAATCTTTGGAGGCGCAACGTGCTTGCAACCGAATGGGCTATGACAAACTGCCCAGAATTCTTCTTTAAGTCGATCATATCCAAACTGCAAGCTATATTCAGTTCAGGAACTGCAAGACCTACTGATCTCAGCTCACATGGTTCCTCGTTGCTTCATGTACTGTGTTTTGCTGTCAGTCCACCTCCTACAAGAAAAAATAATTTAGCTATTCACAACTTCAGATGCAATATTCTCTCCCGCCGGACCAGAGTTGGGACCAAAAGCAACTCGTGTATACCAAGGCCAAGCCATTGTTCGAGTTCCTTATCAAAGCAGGAACACCATTGTCGGCAGTTAATTCTGAGGGGTCGTACGTGCATTGGTCAGAAAATGAATATTACGCTGATGTGACCTAGGATGGCGTGGCATATAGTGGCCGATTATTGGGTGCTCCCGGTAACCATAATCACTGACTTACATGTCGAGGATGTTGAAGTAGCTTCAGTAACAAGGAGGGAATTCTTTACCCTTCGTCTAAGGCCGAAATACTCTATGAAGTATTTTGATTGGAATCAGAAGTTTTTTGAAAGTAAGGCACTCGTAATATTGTTACCATGTACTAAATGAAACTCTGATAGGTTTATTCGGACCACTAACGCTCGCCATTCTACGCACAGACATAGAGGAGGCGAAGCAACTGATCAACAACCGCCCGGAATGCTTGGACGAAATTAGTTTCTATAAACAGACTCCTCTGCACTTCGCAATAGAGAACCCGGAAATTCTAGAACATTTGGTGCAAAAAGCCAGTCCAGGACAGTTAGTCCGGTCAAGCATAGCATTTGATGAGAAGATAACCCCTCTCGGTAGAGCAATCTGGCTCAGTGCAGACATTTGTTATGCCCAGAAAGAAAAGAGCCGGACTTTTTGCCCTTGCACCACAGCGGTCGAAACTATTCTAGCTGCAGATTGTCCAATTATACCTTACCGCGACTTTACGATATCCACGGTACCATACCTGAATGGGTTTTCTAATGTATTCAGGCGCGCTTCGAAACATTGCAAGCATCTACTTGCCAAGCAGTTACAATCCTATCGGCGAGAACTGGAGCAGATAGCTCAAAAGAAGCTACCGAGATCGGTACACAGGGTTCATAACTCTTGGGTATCCGATACAAGCGTGAAAGCTATCGAGTGGGATCGAATACTACGTGAGAGAGGTCTGCTAGATTTTGGTCGTCTGTCGACAGCATTACCTGATGACCTGAAAAGATTGCCACCAGGGAAATATCATTCGAGACCTATATACCTGGACATTAACAACCCAGAAGATGCGTCTATCTTCTGGGATCTAGGATTCTCCGACATTGATGATCAATGGGCAGATTGGGCGCTGACACATGAGGCTGGCCCTGGCATTGGCAAGAGTTTTCGACGCTTTTTGGAAACTGTTAGACCAGCATATGCAATGTGGTTACATGAACACTGCCCGAACCTCTGGAGTTTAGTTTGTGAGCACCGGAAACTGGAGTCACCGGTCTTTGTTCTGGCGGAAGTCATTCTCGGTCTTTGCGACATTGATGATATTGGATGCGAGGAGATGGTACAGTATCTCATTAATTCTCCTATAGTCATCGAAGACACAGACGATTGCGTCTGTCCTTGCTCGCCCCAAGGGTGTACACCTTTTACTCATGGAGTCAAATTAATGGCCGCGTTTCACCACGGCCATGAATTCCTGCGATTATTTATCAGCAAATATGGACAAATCCTGAGTTTGAGTCAACATATAGCTGTTTTAAGGCAAGCGACCTTTCAGAAGCTTGGTATGGAACACACATGTATCCACAAACCAGACCACGTAGAATGCGGGTCGTCCGAAAGCGATTTTGATACTCTAACAAAGGATTCAGAGAAGGAAATGTACCTTGAAAAATTGGTCATGGAATACCAGGCATTTTTGCTCCGTGACGCTGACGATTCGCCCGACGAAGCCGGAGAGGACTGCAAGGATTCTAATGTTGAAGTGAGTACCAGAAGGTATTGGCGAGCTATGGAATACTGGGATTCTATCTGGCCATTGAGAGTACAAGAGATTGAGCAAGAATTGGCATCCTCGTGGAATCCAGATCAAGAGGTCTTGAAGAACCTTGGGGTCTCTCTTTGGCTGGAAGATGAAGGAGAAACGGAGGAATGGTCAGAATCATCAAATGAGGATCTGTTTCGTAAGATGATGGACGAACTGGAAATGATCGAATAGGCCATGATTGGGCGTTCATCTGTCGATTCGAGGCTTCAACATTTCAGTGCTGAGTATTTATAAGGTTACGAGATTTGATTAGGCGATAGAGCAACAAACTATTGATCTCACACTCAACAGGAACCGGAGAATGAGGTGTTATCGCCCGAGCGAGAGCAGCAACGTAGGTAGCCATTAAAAGCGGGAAGGCCAGTGTCAGATGCCAACTGAGTAAGAACGCGTTCCCGTGAGTCCGGCTGGAGATAGAACAGTTTTGCTACCTTATAAATTCCATCGGATAAATTTCTAAGTGAGTTAGACTGTCCGTTGAGTCAAGTTGACACTTCATACCAGTAAGTAACTTTCTTGTTATGGAGTTGAAAATGATGCAACACGAGAGGCTGTAGCCTAAGGTTGACCCACAATGCTCTGAAACCTGACGAATCATTTCTGTCGCAAGGGACAGTCAGCACTTTAGCTTCCCCTTGGCTTTACCTCATCTTTGACTTCACTTCATCTCGCCAACAACTGCGAAGTGATGCTACTGTGCTCGCCGATACACGTACAACAGCGAGCCACTAGCCTATTATTGATCTGGTATTATGCATATGACTTTTTGAGAATGTTTTGCATTGTATGAGCTCTTATTGACATCACACCACTCACCAAAGCTGTTGGCTTACACGGCCAACACGGCACAGCTCCCTGCAACTTGTGGCCTGAGGACACCAAATCCTCCTCTTACCTGGTATATATAACACACACTGCCCTCCTCCTTCGACCCCGTCCCCTCCTTTCTCTTACATCCATTCCACCATCACGTAATAATCCAAACCTGGCCCTTCATCACTAATGGCCAGATTCAAGAAAACAGAAAGACCATCAACACACATACAGAAGACTACTGCCCCTAAGCCTCAGCCCACTTACACCATGGCTGCTTCCGGCAGTGTCTTCTCTGAGACTCTTCAAGAGATCACCAACACCAAACTCCAGGAGCTGTCCCAGAGACGCTCTAGCTTTGAAGAATCCAAGGCGGCGATTCTTTCTTCCGTCCAAGCAGAGAAAGATGCGGTCAAGCGTCTTGTCATCTTGAGCGATGGTGTCAAGAAGTGCTTCTCTATTAAGCTTACCAAGGAGAACAAAGTCATCTTAGGTCGCACCAGCCACAAACGCCTCGAGATTGACCTCAAGAACCTCGATCGCTTCCTTGGCCAGGCCAAGACAGATCCCTCTGTGTCGCACAAGATGTTGGCGGCCTGGGAGGGGTCACTTACTCGTCAGCTTGATATGCAAGCCCTTCAGTATCAGTACGCCTGGCTCTATGGTGAGCTCGTGACCGAATGGCTGTCAGGCGATAAGGAGAAGGATCCCGAAGCTGATGTTGAGATGGGTGAGGCGTTCGAGGACGTCGGTGACCAGGCCAAACTTCAGTCCAAGATTGACTGGGAGGACACCGTCTTTCAAGCCGCCGACATTGATACCAAGGCCCTCAACAGTTACCTCGAACATCTTTTCGGCTGCAACAACAATGACAAGAAGGCAATGGTTAATAGTCTTAAGGTCCTTCGGCGATGTGTTTCTGACCATGAAGCATCCATCTCAACACCCAATCAGTTCACTGTTAGTTCCCTCAAGTGGATCATTCCCGGCCTTCACTCCTCTGATCTTCTCTCCAATGAGAAACGAGAAGTGCTCAAGGACTTTGAAAGTAACGATATGATCTTGAAGGAGATTGCAGACGTCCTCAACATGCGCATCAATGCCCTCGAATCATGGACGTGGAACTCTGAGACGCCTGTTCCCGTCTCGATAGAGAAGAAGATTAGCGGTGTCTTCAACATCCATATGCATGAGGACTTACTCCAAGCCATCTTCCTCCAGTATATTGGTGTTAAATGGAGTGTTTTCTTCAAGACAGCCTTCAAAAGGTTCCGTGATTCTGTAGCCTGGCAATCGGAGAGGCAGGAGATTCCTCGAGACGACCGGCGACGACTTGGCTACTACCTTGGTCCACTTTCAGACTCACCGTGCCTACAGCGTGAACGTGTAAAGGTCAATGAAGAGAGATATTTCATGGCACAGCTTATGGACTCTGTGGATGAAATCACAGGCACTGCCGACGGTGAAGAGGAAGCCGAGTACGAACGTTTCGCCGCCGACACCAAGAAACGCAAAGTTGTAGTCCCGGCTGTGCAGGCACCTCGGAGACAGCTGGCTAGCAAAGCATGCCGAAAGGCCCACCCGTCCACCGGTGGCGTGGGCCTGGGCCAGGGCGGTGCAATGAGGCATCGCAGGATCATGAATACAAACAACTTTTCTGCTGAGGTTGATTATTCTGATGAAGAGGAAGAAGAAGACGACGATGACGAGGAAGACGACAAGTCTCGCAGTCCAATGGCACTCAAGCAGACCTTGCTTCACTTGTTGTCTACAGAGATCACCATCAACACTCATCTTTACGGCGAGGTGACGGCATTCCACTCCGTTTTTGATGACTGGAACCCCAAGCTTCCTCATGACACTGTCTTCACGATCCTCAAGTTCCTTGGTGTCTCCGATACGTGGCTTAGGTTCTTCAAGAAGTTCCTTGAGGCACCTCTCAAATTTGTCGACGATGACGACTCGTCTGCACGCAAGAGACGTCGTGGTACTCCAGCAGCTCATGTTTTGAGTGATGTCTTTGGCGAGACGACTTTGTTTTGCCTTGACTTTGCTGTCAACCAGGCTACCTCTAACAACCTGTGGAGAATGCATGACAACTTTTGGTTCTGGTCGCCTGATCATAAGGTCGCTGTTAAGGCCTGGGATACCGTTGATGAGTTTACTATCGTCACCGGTGTTAGTGTCAACTCTACCAAGACAGGCACGGTCCGCATCTCCAAAGATAGCAATGTGACCCTTCCCATCGACGACTCACTGCCAGAAGGTGAGATTCGCTGGGGATTCCTTCGCTTGTCACCCAAGACAGGCCGGTTCGAGATTGATCAGAAAATGGTGGATTCTCATATCAACGAACTTCATAAACAGTTGCTTGACAAGCGCAAGAGTATTCTTGGCTTCATCCAGGCCTGGAACACATATGCTGCGACCTTTTTTACATCCAACTTCGGTAAAGCAGCGAACTGCTTTGGTCGTGAACACGTCGACAACATGCTTTCAACTCACAAGAAGATTGAGGAGCAAGTCTTCAAAAAGCTCTCAGATGGGCAAGTCACGAACGTGGTGGAGCTCTTGAAACAGGAAATCAGTCAGAGATTTGGTATCAATGATGTTCCCGATGGTTACCTCTACTTCCCCATGGAGCTTGGTGGTCTTGACCTGCAGTCCCCGTTCATTTCTCTTATGCAGATTCATGATGAAGTCTTCAAGAACCCATCCCAGCCCATGATTGACTTCCATGAAGATGAGCGTCACGCATACGAAGGTTACAAGCAAAAGTTCCTGAGCGGCAAAACTCGCCACGAACGGTACGCCCTTGACGAACCAGACTGGGTCCCAGAAACCCAACACGAGCAAGACACCTTTATGCCCTTTGAAGAATTCATCCGCTACCGCGAAGCTTTCTTCTTCGAGCACTTCACAGCTACCAACAGACTGCACCGCATCTTCCGGTCTCTCATGAAGAGACCTACCGAGAGCAAGGTTGAGACTGATGATGGAAAGATATCAGCTGCGATGGAGCAGTTGCGAGGGGAGTCGAATCTGCAGGGTATTACTGGATGGTGGAACAACATGGATGCGTATTGGACATGGGTTGCTACGTTCTACGGACATGAGATTGTTGAGAGGTTTGGAAGACTGAATATTGTCAATAGGGAGCTGTTGCCTATTGCTATGGTTACTTTGTTTAGGGATAAGCGCGTCAAGTGGCAGGGTTAGGTTGGATCAAAGTCTGAACGATGGATTGGATACTATTTATTTAAGATGCAATGGAATGCAGGGACAAATTGGAGAAACTCAGATCTTGGAATAATGTACTTCATGACTTTCTATGTTACCATACAAATTATGGGCTCTTCTTCAGCCAAGGCTCCCGTCCAGTAACGACATTCTGTGCCTCTGTACCTCAACAATCCCAATCCAAGTATCTATAGATATCTTAAAGTGCCCACTGTTCAACAATCTCAGCGAGGGTTGTCTCACTACCAACGTTACCCGGGAAGACAACAAAAGGCACGGAACGATGTCGGCTCGTCTCCTCATCACATCTCCATAGAGGCACGCCTGGAGCAGCCTGACCCACGATCAGAGCCCTCCTCATCTTGAGACCTTTGGTGGCTGCGTCCGAGGACGTGATTCCACCCTTGGCGATGATATATCGTGGCCGCACCTGGATGTTGACGAGGAGGCGGACAAGTGCAGCAGCTACCTTGGAGCCGATCTTCAGCGAGGAGATGGCTTCGTCGGTCTTGATCAACGTCCGTGAAGTCATGACCAAGACATCTCTGCCAGCGCTGATGAGCCTGGTAGTCTCTGAGATAGCATGATCTACCATTTTCTGCTCTTGTTCCGCAGACTGGATTAGCTGAGCTACATCGAGCTCAATCACTTCAAGGCCAGGACCCCTGCGCTCGCGCAACGTCTTGAGCTGCGCTGTTGTTTTGGGTACGTATGAACCAGCCAGGACGAGACCACCTGTCCTTGGAGCGTTGACATCAGCCTTCAGCGAGACTTCAGTCCAAGTCTTTGGTGGAATCTCTCTGATACCGAGCCTAGATGATACAAAGGCAGCTGCAGTGCGATAGATGAAGCGGTATCCTTTCTCCTCAGCAGCCAAGAGGCCAGCAACGAAGACATTCATATCAGAATCCGCGACGGCGTTAACAATAATTACACGGTCGGCACCACGCTGTCCGTTCAGAAGCTTCTCTTCGACCTTGGCTGGGCCACCGTAGCGTAGATCCTCCAAGGTGATGGACGTGAACGATGATGATGTGAATCGCGATCCGCATTTCTCGAGAATATACTCTCGAAGGTTGGAGTTCTTGTACCCGAACGTTGCATCCTTTGCAAATGAA